TGATATTACTATCTTGTACCATCCAAGGAAGGCCAATATAGTGGGCGATGCCTTGAGTAGGAAGGCGGTGAGTATGGGCAATTTGACATATATTCCTGTTGGGAAGAGGCCTCTTGGAGTTGATGTTCGGGCTTTGGCCAATCGGTTTGTGGGGCTAGATATTTCGGAGCCCAGTCAGATCTTAGCTTGTGTGGTTTCTCGGTCTTCCTTATTTGATCGTATCAAAGAGCGCTAGTATGATGATCCTCATTTGCTTGTCCTCAAGGACAGAGTTCAGCACGGCGATTCCAGAGATATGATTATTGGTGATGACGGAGTATTGAGGATGCAAGGCCGGATATGTGTGCCCAATGTGGATGGGCTTCGGGAGTTTATTCTGGAGGAGGCCCACAGTTCACGGTATTCCATCCATCCGGGTGTCGCGAAGATGTGTCAGGATTTGAGACAGCACTACTGGTGGAGAAGATTGAAGAGAGATATAGTGGGATTTGTAGCTTGGTGCCTCAATTGTCAGCAGGTGAAATATGAGCATCAGAGACTGGGTGGCTTACTTCAGTAGATGGATATTCCAGAGTGGAAGCGGGAGCGGATCACCATGGATTTCGTCGTTAGACTTCCATGGACTATGAGGAAGTTCGATGCTATTTGGGTGATTGTGGATCGGCTGACCAAGTCCGTGCACTTTGTTCCTGTGTGTACTACCTATTCTTCAGAGCGCTTAGCTGAGATTTATATCCGAGAGATTGTTCGCCTGCATGGTGTCCCAGCTTCCATCATTTCAGATAGAGGTACTCAGTTTACATCACAGTTTTGGAGGGCTATGCAGCAAGAGTTGGGTACTCAGGTTGAGTTAAGCACAGCTTTTCACCCTCAGACGGACGGGCAGTCCGAGCGCACTACTCAGATATTGGAGGACATGTTGCGCGCTTGTGTCATTGATTTTGGGGGTTCATGGGACCAGTTTCTACCGCTCGCAGAGTTTGCTTACAACAACAGTTATTAGTCGAGTATTCAGATGGCTCCATATGAGGCTTTATATGGGAGACAGTGTAGATCTCCAGTAGGTTGGTTTGAGCCAGGCGAGGCTAAGCTTTTGGGTACAGACTTGGTACAGGATGCTTTGGAAAAGGTGAAAGTGATTCAAGAGCGGCTTCGTATGGCGCAGTCAAGACAAAAGAGTTATGCTGACAGGAAGGTTCGAGATGTGTCTTATATGGTTGGGGAGAAGGTTCTACTGAAGGTTTCACCCACGAAGGGTGTTATGAGATTTCGGAAGAAGGGCAAATTGAGCCCTCGGTTCATTGGGCCTTTTGAGGTGCTTCGGAGGATTGGGGAGGTGGCTTATGAGATTGCTTTGCCGCCTAGCTTGTCGAGTGTGCATCCGATATTTCATGTTTCTATGCTCCGGAAGTGTATCGGTGATCTGTCTCATGTTTTGGATTTCAGCACGGTTAAGTAAGACGGTTATTTGACTTATAACATGGAGCCAGTGTCTATTTTGGAGCGGCAGGTTCGGAAGTTGAGATCAAAGGATATAGCATTAGTGGAAGTGCAGTGGAGAGGTCGGCCCATGGACGAGGCTACTTGGGAGACCGAGCAGGAGATGCGGAGCAGATATCCACACCTATTTGAGACTTCAGGTATGTTTCTAGACTCGTTCGAGGACGAACATTTGTTTAAGAGGGGGAGGATGTAATGACTCGGCCGGTCGTTTCATGAGTTATAGCCCTGTTTCCCCCATTTCCGCTTCTTTATGTGTTGTTCAGCTGTATTTATCGTATCGTGTTGGTTGGTTTGGGTTCGGAGTGGTCTTGGAGTGGAATGAGACACTTAGTCTCTAATTTAGAAGCTTAAGTTGAAAAAATCAACCGGATATTGACTTATATGTAGAAGATCTCGGATGTGAATTATGATGTTTCGGATAGCTCCGTTAGGTGATTTTGGACTTAGGAGCGTGTTCGGAATGTAATTTGGAGGTCCGTGGTAGATTTAGGCTTGCATTGGCGAAATTGGAAATTTGGCGTTTCTCGATCGGCAGTGGAAATTTTGATATCGAGGTTGGAATGGAATTCTGGAAATTGAAGTAGGTTCGTAGTGTCATTTGTGACGTGTGTTCAAAATTTCAGGTCATTCGGACGAGGTTTGATGGGTTTCAGCATCGTTTGCGGAATTCGGAAGTTTATAAGTTCTTAGGCTTGAATTCGAGAGTGATTTGATGTTTTGATGTTGTTGGAGTGTTCTGAAGGTTGGAAGAAGTTTGAATGATGATATGTGACGGGTCTGTATGTTTGGTTAAGATCCCAAGGGCCTCGGGTTGATTTCGGGAGGTTGACGGATCAAGGATGGGATTTGAGGTAGTGTTGAAGATTTCCTTCAGCTGTCATAACTGCACCTGCGGAGAGGGGACCGCATGTGTGAGGTCCGCAGAAGCGGGAGATCAACCGCAGAAGCGGCTAAGGCCAAGGAAGCCAGGAGTCGCAGGTGCGGAAGGAGGAGCGCACCTACGTGACCGTAGGTGCGAGTATTGGGCCACAGATGCGTCTAAGGCCGGATAAGTGAAAATCGTAGATGCGGGTAATGGGCCGCAGGTGCGAGTCTCCTGGGCAGAAACTATATAAAGCCACCCTTCGCGAATTTCTGCCATTTCTTCACCATTTTTGGACGAGTTTGGAGCTTAGGGCTGTGATTTCCAGAGGGAATCGAGGGGTATCAATGAGGTAAGTTACTTGGGCTTTATATTTTGTAATTATGATGATTTTCCCACTGTTTAATCAAGAAATTAGTGGGGGATTTGGGGTGAAGTTGAAGGGTTAGGGCTTGAGTTTTGGAGAGCTTTGATTGAGGATTTGAGGAGCCATATAAGGTCGGATTTTGATGATTTTGGTATGTATAGCCTCGGGAGTGAAATGAGTTTCTAGTTTTGTGATTTTTTTCGGATTTCGAGACGTGGGCCCGGGGGTCGGGTTTGAGCCCGATTCGGGATTTTTGGTCTAATTTGATAATTTTCGTGTGGGTTTCATTCCTTTAGCGTATATTGATGTTAGTATACTGATTTTGGTTAGATTCGGATCATTTGGAGGCCGAATCGAAAGGCAAGGGCATCACGGGCTAGAGATTGGCTTGGTTTGAGGTAAGTAACGCTTCCAAACTTGATTCTGAGGGTTCGAGACCCCGAACGTTGTGCTATATGATTTGTATTGAGGTGACGCAAATGCCAAGTGACGGGCGAGTGGGCGTGCACCGTAAGAATTGTGGCCTGGTTCATTCCATGGCACCGCTTAGTGACTCTTTCTTGCTGATATCTGTGTTATGATTATGTGATTAAGTAAAAGAATTGTAAATCATGCTAATTATCATGTTAGGGCTTCATGCCAATACTGTTGAGACACGAGTGGTCGTTCTTGCTGTCATCTCATTAGTTTCATTGATATTCTGTACTCAGTCTTGTTCATGCATATCATATTATGTCTCAATCTCGGTTGTTATCATTTGGCACATCATATCATTATTTCGGCTAGTATTATGGCATTGTGAGCCCATGTGTGTGAGACTGGAGAGTGATGACTGAGTGAGGCCGAGAGCCTGGTTATGAGTAACAGTTATGGGATCAGGCTGCACACGGCAGCAGATTATTGATTATGCCTTCGTTGGCTTGTTATAGCGCTTGGGCTGAAAGGAGCCCCTCCGGAGTCTATACACCCCCAGTGAGCGCAGTTGATATTATTGAGGGATGGATCTTCCCTGGACATGGATCTTGTCCAAAGTACTTATGCCTGGAGATGGAATTTCTCCATAGGGCTGGAATGGCCTTTCCTCGGTACTAGGTGACTGTAGTCAGTGATGTGTATATATTCCGGGATGGATCTTCCTGGACCGGATGGCCATATACAGTACCAAGTGGTTGAGCACTTGAGAGTGGAGGTACATGGTACATTTTCATGCTTTCTGTACATTGGTACGTAGAGATTTGCTGAGCTTTACACTTCACATTGTTCAGATTGGTATTACTTACTAATGGCTGGAATGGCCTTTCCTCGGTACTAGGTGACTGTAGTCAGTGATGTGTATATATTCCGGGATGGATCTTCCTGGACCGGATGGCCATATACAGTACCAAGTGGTTGAGCACTTGAGAGTGGAGGTACATGGTACATTTTCATGCTTTCTGTACATTGGTACGTAGAGATTTGCTGAGCTTTACACTTCACATTGTTCAGATTGGTATTACTTACTATTGAGCTGAATATTTGAACTGCAAGCATGCCTATTTTAATGTATAGTTTAATTGTGTTTACCTGTTGAGGTTTAGTTCGTCACTATCTGTCAGTCCATAGTTTGGACTTGTTACTTACTGAGTTGGTGTACTCACGTTATCCCCTGCGCCTTGTGTGCAGATCCAGGTATCTCAGGCCACGATAGCGGCTGTTGACTATTCCAGATGCGGATTTCATCGGAGGTAGCTGCCTGACGCTCGCAGTCCCGCCTTTCTCCTTCTTTATCTTCCTTCTAGTATATTTTAGCTACTTTCAGACTATTTTGATCTTGTTATGTTTCGGAATGATTGTAGTATTGCTCATGACTTAGTGACACCCGAGGTCGGGCTTTTATTATCCGCATTTACTATGGTTTTGTCTTTACATCTTTTATAGAATTTCAGTTAAAAAGGTTGTTATTTAAGTTTTTTGAATGAAATGTTGAACTACTTTGAAAATGTGTCGGCTGGCCTAGTTTCACGATAGGCGTCATCACGACCGGGTTGGTTTTGGGGTCGTGACAATTTCCTTCCTTCACCCTTGAGGACAAGGGTGTTGTTCATCCAGGGGCTATTGATACGAATATTAGTGGCTAAGGGTGGAACCATTTGAATTTTAGTTGAACTAAAAATGGCGGGAAAAGTAGTTAGTAGTTTAATTCAAATTCTGTAATTCCTTTTATATTTTCATCACTTATAAATAGAGAATAGCACTTGTATTCACACAATTATCATGATATAAGAAAATGTGAGTTCTTCTCACTCTTCTCTCTCTATCTTTGTTTCATTTCTTCTTCTGAACCTTCTTTTCTCTTCTCTTTGTTACTGTTTCATTGATTTATCAGCTGATTCTCCACAAATGAGTATCAGATCCGCACATGCATGGTTGAAAATAGATGACTGGTGCATGTAGCTGTATTATTTTGGATTACTGATTGTTGACTGTCTTTTTTACTTTGCCGCTAATAAATTATTGAAAATCAAGTATATGAAAATCTTTAATTTTAAATTTGCTGTTGGAAGATTGGGTCTTAGCACTTAAATTTTTTTTTATTGATAGTATCAATTATATTTGTAGACATACTTTCATGGTGTTCTTTCTATGTAAGTATTGTATATTTTTTAGACAGTTACCGTTTTAATTGTTTTTTCTCTTCTACTTTATTCTTTTTTTTTTTGTTCATTCTACTCAATATAATGGAGAAGACTGATGAACCCAAGATGTTCGGTGATATGCCTGAAACAACTTAACTATTTGGTAAGAATTTTTTTTGTTTCTCTTTTGCTGTAGGTGAGTAAATTCGGGCTGCCTTTAATGATGTACAATTGTGCATTCCTGTGAATTGGAAAATTTTTTTCATAATATTCATGCAAATACAGAAATACTTCTTGATGGCTCAGAGCAATATTAGAATTTTATCTTATGTGTATGAGAATTTTAATTACTTTTTTCTTCAAGTAGATGTGTTGTTATTGGTATGTTAAAATGGTCATGGTATTAGCTATTACTGATGATCTTTTCTTTCTACCTATTTTTTCGTGGGCCTTTTATTATTATTATAACTGGAATAGAATTTTTCTTATAAGGTAGGGATAAGGTCTACATACACACTACCCTTCCCAAATTCCATGGTGTGGGATAATACTGGGTATGTTGTTGTTGTTGTAATTACTGGAATAGAATTCTGCAGGAGAAAGAAGTTCTGATTTTTTTCGCTTCATCTGATTAGTTAGGTTATGGGTCTTTGTTTGCTAATAATTGACTTTGTTTTTTTTTTTGGAACCCAGGAAAACCCGCAGCCGCTACAGCCTCTGCCCTTCGGGTGAGCACTCTGTGCGCACTGGGTAAACCCCCACTGTGTAATAGCCTGCAAACCACACAGGGGATATAAACCGCACTAGGCAAACCCCGTGCGACAGGCTCAGACCCAGAGGGCATTGAGGGGGATCGAACCCGCATCGCCCGTGTGGACAACTCCCTCCAAACCCAACTGGGCCGTCCCTTCGGGACAATAATGGACTTTGTTGTTTACATACTTTTTTACCATTTTTTATAAGTATCACTTTTATATTTCTATCTTACATGTTCGTAAATCAACCAATGGTTCTCTAACTTGGAAAGAATGTAAACTACACCACAAGCTGTAGACATCATTTCCCATGTAAGTTAATACCCACATTCTTACCTTATTTGTTTTCAAAAGCCATATTCTATCTTCCTTGTTCAATAAATCCTGTAACAAAACAAAAAAAAAAAGATGAAATGCTATATGTAATTGTTTTTTCTCTGAAATTCATATGATGTGCTTTACAGTAGAACAAAGCCAGTAAAACTTTATTGTATAAGGAAGAGTTGCAAAATAGGATGTGAATATGTACAACATAGAGTCCAGACGTGCTGCCTCTTGTGACTTTGTATTCTCAAGTGGCCATTACTCTGCACCCATACATGGTAAGATTTGAAGTTAAAGTTTGATTGCTTTAACGACTTACCGCCATAGTTTATTGATGAGGTAATTGGATAATTGGTAATTAAGTTGTTATGTTGATTTAAGTATAAAGAAGCATCTTGAAATTCTTTTAGCTGGTCATTTAGTTCTAAATGAATTGCAGGTTACGCCTAAAGTAATCAAGACAGAAGCTGGATATTTCATCTTTATGCAAAAACTCGAAGGCAAGGTTCTTTTTGCATCTGCTTGATGCCCTTAATAAATTTTATTACTTCATAAAAAATAAAAGAAGAACTAGAAACAGGGAAGTACATTTTGGATGAACTCAACAGCACCAACAGAAAACATCAAGTATGTATAACACCTATTTCAATTTCCTCCATTCTATGTTTCTGCCTAGATCTTTTTCTGATATGAAACATACTTGCATATAGTTTCGGGGTATGAAATGTGATGCACAATCATATGGAGGTAATACCTTTGACAATGCAAGAGAGTTGGCTATGTCTGCGCTCAAACTAAAAGAGTCGTAACAGCTTTTCACAGAGAAAGTTCTATCCTTGCTGACAATCCAAATCAAAGAATCCACCTTGTTTATGATCAATAGCAACTTGTCCTACTAACTGTTGCAATTGGCAATAATCCTCAATTTCCCAGTCATCCAAATTGGTAACAAATGTTACATAGATTGATAGAACAGTCAAATCACAGACATAACAACTTGCATTGGAAGATTATTTGGAAAATCAGAGCTCCAGTCAATGTAGCTTGCTTTGGGTGGATAGCAGCCTGGGGAGCCTGTTTATCTCAGGACAATTTGCAGAGAAGAGGTTTTATGTATTTGGGGAGCCTGCTTTGTATAATCTATGTATACCGACTATAAAAAGAAATAATGAATGCAGATAACTATTTGTGTAAAGATCCCAAATTACAATGGCAATGTAAAATTCTTTGCATTATTAGTGCATATAACTTAAATTCTTTTTTATTTTATTTTATAAATAGATGGAGAAGAGGGAAGGGTGGCAGTGAGTAAGGAAGAGTAGGTGAACGGTGATGGAAAGTGAAGGAGGTGGTGGCAGGGTAAGAGAGTGAGGAAGAAGGAGAATTTTTTTTTTCCTTCAAAAACAAAAAGGCCTCACGCGCTCAGAATCAGTGTGACACACATGATGTGCCATGTCAGCAAGGCGTGTCTTATTGATACAATTTGACTCGAGTTCAAGTGATCAATAGGAACGAGACTTAATCTAAGTGTCTAAATAAAAATATCGGATAAATTTAAAGAGCTGTGTATGTATTTGGTCTAATATTTTTGTATCACCAAATTAAATTGGCCTATACTTTGTTATAACAAGCCTAATAAGGCCTTTGGAAATAGAATAATAACCTACTATTTCCAATTTAATTGCATCGATAGTGGACAATTTTTTATGTCAATTAGTATAGCTTAAATCCTTAAAAATTAATGCAAAATTGGCCGAGACGATTTTTTTTTTTTGGTAATTAAGTATTTTATTACCAACTAGCAATATTTACAACTCATCTAAGCTATTACAAAATTTCCTCTAGCGTATCACCTACTGGACATGCAGCCCCAGTTTAGTGGTACCTAGCTTTTGCTGCTTCTATTACTTCTTCTGCTTCCACTACTATGTTCTATTCTAGCTAACTTTCGGATACCAGTTCAATATAGCCATTGCTCTATCTAGATAAGGGAATTTAGCTGCCCTTATGTGCACTTCCTGAATAATAAGATGAAGGAAGTAGTGTCTGTCCTTCTCTTCTCCTAGAAAATCACAAAGTTCCTCTCTTGCCAACAATGATAAACAGCAGCTGCTAGTGTCATTCTGCATATTGCTGCTCTTGCACTCTTTCCTTTGGTCACCTTTGCCAGTCATGTAATCTCTTCCTGCCATGCATGTTGTGTTCTTTGTATTCCTTGCCATCTCAATAAACCATTCCAGATCTTCCCTGTTATCTCACACTTGAAGAACATATGTTGCACAGTCTCATTTTCCTTGTTGCACAAGGAGCATGTTTGATTTGTAACTACACCCCATCTTGCCAGTCTCTCTTTGGTTGCTAGCCTCTGTTGAATTGCCAATCTCAAAATGAATATCCAGTTGGGTTGCCCTTGGTTATTACACACTAACTTCCTCCATGGCACTTTTTGAAATTCTCCTTATAAGGATCTGTATATTTGTTTAATTGGACACTTCACCATCGTCTGAACTTCTTCTTCATTCAGTCCTGCCTCAGCAAAGTACTTCTTAGCCTGAAATATCTTTTGGATTGCCCATGAAGCACTCTTTGGTTCTGTATCCAGACTGTATGGCCCTTAATATAGTAAGTGTGTAACCAGTGCACCCATAGCTTCTCCTTCCTAGTACAGATACTCCATAGCAATTTGCAGATAGCAGCTTCATTCCACAAAGCCAGATTAATGAAATTCAATCCCCCTTCAACCTTAGGTGAGCATAGTTTCTCCCAGGCTATCAAAGCCTTTTTAGTTGGTTCAACATTACCTGTCCAAAGAAACCTTCTACAGATAGTTTCTATGAACTGTATAACTTTCTTAGGCAACATAAAGATCTGTGCCAAAAAGTTTGTATGCATTGATCATAAAGAGTCATCATCAAGGCCCTTAGGACTGTTAGTCCTCCATCGATCGTCCTTGATCAAGCCCGTCCAACTCGACCTCGAGGCCACGCTTAGGCCGGTCCGAGACCCCGACTTGCAGCTGTTCGGTTTGAATAACCACACTGCCTCTTACTCTTACTTTACTTTCTTAGCTCATACTTAGCATCTATTGCCTAACAACTAGCATAAAAATAAATCGCGTATTTTTAGAACCACAAAATCAAATCTAAATGTAATTACCATTTTCAAGGTAAACAACAGTCAAATCACATACATAACAACTGACCTTGGAAGATTATTTGGAAAATCAGAGCTCCGGTCAGGGTAGCTTGCTTTGGGTGGATAGCAGCCTGGGGAGCCTGTTTAACTCAGGACAATTTGCAGAGAAGAGGTTTAAGCCTGTGCAATAGGTGTTACCTATGTGAAGAAGAGCAAGAATCAGTGAACCATCTACTCCTGCATTGCAGAGTATCTAGGCAATGCTGGGGTAGCATATGTGGTATTTCATGGGTGATGCCTCAAACTGTGAGGGGCTTATTAGAAACTTGGCAATCCCAAAGAGCACCTAGAAGGCTGAAACAGATGTGGAAAACCATTCCATTGTGCATTCTATGGACCTTATGGCCGGAAAGAAACAAGGGTTGCTTTGAAGGACATAGAAATAACATTATTACTTTTGCAGGAGCAAATTTGTAAAAATTTTGTGAGGTTCGCTCCTCCCATCTGTACATTCTACCAAACCACACGACATAAACAAATAAAAATATGGGGCAGACGCCCGTGGTTTTTAGCACGGGCACACACCATCTAGTATATAATATTTTGCTAAGGGTATTATTGATAGGAAGCAAAGTCAAAATTGCTTCTGCTTTTGGGGAGAAGGTACATTTCGTTTGGAAGGCCGAATTGAATACAGTATATATAGCCAAATTAAATAGAGCGGTATACATCCTATTTCTTGATTTTTTGTGTTTGAATACAACTGACTTCAATACATTGAAATTAAATACAATATAAACTATATAAAAACGAATACATTCGAATTGAATACTGTGTATACAATCGAATTGAATACAACGACATACATCCCATGGCAAGAATTTAGTAGCTACAAAATGTAATTAGCTAAATTATAGCTACGCCCAGCAATAAGCCTCCAAACAATACTCATTTCTGAAAGTTCCCCTATTAGAACTTGATATGCTTGCAGATTGAGAAATTTGGGCGGGCTTAGAATTTACTTCAACTGACCATGGCTTAATGAACTGGGCTACCACTGTTAGATATGAGACTAGCCCAAAGGACCTAGATGCATTGGACCATAAGAAGACATTTTGAGAGTAGAAAATTACACTCAATGACCTTGAAAATTGATGATTTTGATTTTTTTAACTCCCGCTTTCCCCATAGGAAAACCTTTAAGGTCAAAACTCAAATGTGTTGCCCATACCACAAGCGAGAGGCAACACTTGTTAAACCTGAAGTTCTGCCCATGGGACAAATGGAATAAAACAATCAAGAGAGGCACGAAAGTGTCGTATTTGTGCAAATCATCCTTTTGAGAGACCATCTAAGTTGTAACCCGTTAAGATAAGTTCTGCAAGCATAGATTTCGGCCAGCATTAAGTAAAGATTTCAAATTAATGAGCAAAACTTGCCTTATCACAATAATCACAGAATTTCTGGCCAAATCCTAATCCTAACAAATGCAATTTGGCCATTGATTTCAAATTGGTTAACAAAACTTGCCTTGTCACAAATCTTGAGGAAGGATTTTGACCACAAGTGACCGTAACTTGCTATGTAAAATTCATCAGGGAATGAGACGTTTAAAGAGAGACAAATGATAGCTTAAAGTTACAAATACATTTTTGATTAAAACTATTATATGTCCTTGCATTGGAGTTCATAAACCTTAGGTCTTTATATATCAAGTGTTTGAACCTTGCCTCAGACAATAGCCTTGTATTTAAGGGATCAAGGCTACCCATGATCCACCGAGTTTGAACCATGCGCTACTAGCCCTCGTGGATTTCTCGCTCACCAAAGAAAAAATTTCCTATCATTTTGAGCGAGAGCAGAAAGGAAGTTGCAAGTACAAATTTAGTCTTCTTCCTGACACTTGATATATATATTGAATAAATTTGCAGTACTAGTGCAAGAAAACAAACGAGTACAGCTTTAAGATATGGCGAAGAAATTTAAACAGCAGCCAGCATGCTGCTTTTTTATAGTAGAGCTTGAAAATAGAAATGTTTAAGAACAAATTTCCTCTCACCTTGGGCCTGATAGGATTGAGGGAAGTAATGGAGCAGAATCTATTATATTGATATCTGATATGGTTTGTGGCATAAGGAAGTTGTAGTCCAGACTCTTTTCAACATCCACCGCGCCCTCAATGACCATGACAACTATTGACATTGATGGTCTCTTGGTGTAATCGCGTTGTAGACACCACGCTGCAACTTGCATTGTATCTACTACTTCTTCCTTATAAAGCTGCATATCTTCACTGCGCTTATCAATCAGATCCACTAATCGCCCTTCCTCTGCCTTTCTCTTGAGAAGACTCATCAATAGCCTTTGCTCCTCGGGCTCAGATGGCTCGAAATTTTTCCTTCCACACAAGATCTCCAAGACTACAACGCCAAAGCTATAGACATCTACCTTTTCTGTTATAACTGCATTAAGCCATTCAGGAGCTAGATAGCCAGGAGTACCTCTCATTGTAGTCACAACTTTGCTCTGAGTCCGATCAATTAGCTTGGAAAGTCCGAAGTCAGAGAGCTTAGCGTCATACTTCTCATCTAATAGAATGTTTTGAGGCTTAATATCCAAATGTAGAATTTTTTGCCTGCATTCGTCGTGGAGGTAGGCTAATCCTTTGGCTATGTCATGAATAATCTTCTTCCTGCATTTCCAATCTAGAACGATTTCTTGATTTCCAGGGTAGATCCATTTGTCTAGCGATCCATTGCTCATGAACTCATATACTAGAAGTCTGTGAGATTTCTCAGCACAGAAGCCAATTAATTGGACCAAGCTGAGATGATGTATGCTGCCAATGGTTTCAACCTCAGCTAGGAATGATTTCTTGGCTTTGCCTATTCCATCAAGGCATTTCACTGCTATCTTTGTGTCGTCTTTTAAGGTCCCTCTGAACACTGATCCAAATCCCCCTTCACCAAGCTTTTTGCTAAAGTTCTCAGTTGCAGACTTTAGATCGTCGTAAGAAAATCTAACAGGCATTCCTGGCATGTTATCTAGATAATGCTCTTCCACTTCATCCTCC